GGCGGGAGCGCCGCCGCGCTTCCCAAGCGGCACACTATCCAGTGCGCCACCGGGCCGCCCCATTACTTGGCTTTTATAAACACAAAAGACAGAGGTTGTCACCAGCCACAGCTGGCCAGGAAGTTCAGGTTGCTGAGGTGCTTTTAACAACTCAGTCTAACCTATTAGTCCTTAGGAAGAGGGAGGGGACAGGGAGTGGTCTGGAGTCCTTGATTTGTTTGGAAAAACCCTCCCTGGTATCTTGGAGGCCTTTCCAGACAAGCACAAAATTCACCTTTATAAACGAGGGATATATGTGGCTTTAACACAGAGTCCCAAAGAGCAAGGAGCTGGCATGGATACCAGATGCACTCCTAGTTCCCACCTCCCTGAGCTCCTGAGCACCTAAGAGCAGATTCCAGAAGGATGTGGAGGCCCCAGCTAGATGAGGTAGAGGTGGCAGGATGGAGCAGTGGTTATAATCATAAGCTTCAGACCTGCTGCCAGACCTGGGTTGGAATGCTGGGTCTGCCACTTAATCTTGAGCCAGCCCTGTCAACCAACTGAGCTCTAAATTCTTCTGGAAATGGGGATAGTGATGGCCACAGCCTCACAGGGGTGTTGCCCTGATTAGATAAAATGTGTACCAGGCCTGTCACAGAGGAAGCACTCAAACGTTAGCTCTTGGGATTTCTAGCTGTTATTGAAAGCCTAATGCTCACCGTTTCCCCTCCTTGTTCACAGGTGAAGAAAGAGAAGGGGGTACCAACATCCCAAAGTTACACGCTGCCGTGTTTGACCCCTGACCCCCAGCCTCCAAACAACATCAACAGCTCAGCCATCCAGGCACATTTCAAGACGATCAGACAGTTAGCAGATGACAACAGTGTTATCAATGAAATCATAGAACAGCTTGACAAACTTGAAGCTCAAGATGCACCAGCAACAAATGTTTCTGTGCCTACAGATACCCTTGAACGTAAACGCTTCATCTTGACTACGTTACAACAGTTTTCAGAGTGCATGAACCTCGTATTAAAATCATTGAACTATGGAACCCAATAGGCCATTGAATCTATTCCTTTTTGAATGGCCGAAACTTAAGCAGCCTTAAAAAAAAGATGACTGACAGCAAAGTGTGAAAACTCTGCTTGAGTTATTAAGTAAATTATTCAAATTATTCCAATGCATAATCCCAATGAATCTTCAGATGGGCCAGTCCTGGGAGGACTAAGATTTAAATTTATGAATTAACTTGAAAAAGATGATGTCATTGTTACTAGTCTTGGTATTTAAAGAGTGTTTATCTTCTGCACACTTAAATCTT